TAAAAAAAAAAAAAAGTGGGATGTGACTTAGTGATAAAGCCCCTCTGGGTTTTAAAAAACACTGAATGCTTAGGTCAGGAAGAGATCATTTATTTGTGATCAAGTTCTAGGTTGGAATTTTATCAATTAAATCCTTGAAGAAGCAAGATTCTCAGAAAACCTTGAATTTCCTGAGAGGAATAATAGTTGTTAATGAAAATCTATCAGAAGAAAATTTGGAATTCTGGAAAAAGGGATTTGTGGGATTCTGGAAAGAGGTAGGAAACACTATATGTACTACAAAGCCCATCTGCATCTCATTTAGACCTCACTCCACAAATGATAAGGCATCTTACAACTATAATGAGCAAAAGAAGTCTATACATGGAGTCAGGGGACCTGAATCCAACTCTAAATTCTTACTTAATTATCTCAAACAAAGGCAATCCACAACCTAAATTTCTGTTGTTTTTTTCTATGGACGAAGAGGATGAAATTAGTAGCTCCTACTTTTGAGGAGTCAAGAATCCTTTTGACAAATGTGAAAGCTAAAAACCTCCCCTAGAAAATGAAGACATACAATATTTCACCTATATTTTAAAGATATATATCCCAGGTTATAAGCATATTATTCCTAAAGTCTTTTATAGTAGTGTTATCTCTAAATGATTCCTCTTCTACCCCTCTCTCCCAAAAACCTCTAAACAAAGAAAACAAAAACAAAAACCTGCAACCCAAGAAAAAAATATAGTCCACAACTTGGTTGGATAAACAAAAGGCAAAAGGGTAAGGGAAGCTGGAGTTCAAAGCAAGGTTATGTGGGGACTGTGCTTTTTTGTCCTTTATAATTGATTTCCTGGCCCTTAAAATCCTCGTAGAGAGGATCAGTATCTCCAAGAGAACATCTGTAAAGGATGGATGACATGTAAGATTTTAGCAACCGGGGCAAAACAAGTTAAGAACCAAAATCAATACAACCACATTTGGAGCAGGAAGAGACTACCCTAAGCTTTTGTTTTACTATCCTGTTCTGTCTGGGAAGAATGTTTTCTGCGGCTAGGCCTCAGTGCATCAGTGCAAAAAGAGGCAGGATAAAATGAGGTTAAAGCCAAGGGCTCTACAGAAGACCTGGGTACTAATGTTGTTTCCACCGTTTAATAGCAGAAGCACAGACCCCTATGGCTTAAGAAACCCATTTACCCTCTCCGAACCTTAGTTTTCTCATTTGCAAAACACAGAGGGGCAGCATTTGAACTAGAGACACTTTCACTGTCCCATCAGATCCTAGGAATCTCATAAGATGACCTTCTGATGGCTCGACTATCGGCCAGGTTTGACTCTGGGATACCTTAGTTCCCTCCCTGGGTCTCAGATGTCTCAAAGGCATAGGCTGAGGGAAGAGGAAACTAAAGCTCACTGGTCCTACTTTGTCGAAGAGGCAACCGAAGCTAAGAGAGAGACGGCACTTAGTTCGAGGTCGCCCAGCAGGTAGATAGGGCGGCGTGACCCTCGTGAACCAGACTTACCAGGAGGAGCGTGCTAGCCGCGCGGCTCACATTCCCGGAGGCGCCTGGCCCAAGGGCTAGACTAGGAGGCTTGCCCGCGCACTCGCGCTCCCCGCTGTCGGAGAGAGGCGGCTCCAGTCGTGACAGTGGCAACAAGGAAGTGGAGGCGAGGGCTCGCGCGCGCATCCCGGGTACTGGAGGAGCCCCGGCCCCGGGGCCCCCCGGAGACACACGGCGCAGAGTCGCGACCACCCCTCCTGCTCCCCTCCTCGGAGTCGCGATATGGGGTCGGGGAGGGCAAGTGCAGGAGTTCAAGTTCACTTTGCAGGCTTCTCACCGACGCCTGCCGAGGACCCCGGGGGTCGAGCCCCGGGGAGCCCGAGGAAGAGAGCAAGGACACAAGTATCGCCGCGGCACCAGTCTAGAGGTGGCAGCAGCAGCAGCAGCACACCACGGATCGCCAGGGAGACCCGTCCCGGCGGCCCTCGCGGCGCACCGGAAGTGGCCGGCGGCGCGTGACTGCGTGAAATCCCTCGCGCAAGCGCAACAGTCTAGCCCTAGCTGGGAAGTGGATCCAAAGGAATCGTTTAGAGGTTTTGAGTGGGGCTGTTAAGACTGACGGACTGCTTCCGGCCAAAGGTCCAGGGCAAAGGAGGAAGCTGTGGCTGCCGGCTGTGGAAGTGCCCGGCCGTTTAGCCCCAGGGCACTGCAGTGGGGCGTTCAGGTAACAACAGGGGCGGGGCTGTGCTGCGCGTGAGGGATAGAGCCCCGCCTCACGTCTCAGAGCCTCGTCGGGCACTGGGGAGCCTACTGCACCACCCTCTGCAGAGCACCATCCAAGGCCTCACCCCAGCCCTCCTCGGTCGGCCCGTCCTCATTCAGGATAGGTTGATACTTAAGGCCACATCAATCCCCTCTCTCACTTCGGTGATGTGTCCACAATCCGTCTCCACTGTCCTACGGACAGTAACGACAGTGAGTTCCTGGAATGACTCAAGCCAAGTTCCTGGAGTGTGGAGAGGCTCCGGGAATCAGGGATTGAACTGGATTGTCTCCCGGGTCACATATTGTGCTATATTTGAACAAGTTCCTGCACGACCCTCACTATTTTGCAAATGTAATTACAATCTGCTTTCTTCTTTTTGTCTACCTCTATCACCAACCTCCCAGCCAACATCATTTCCTGCCTGAACTTCCACCCTTGTCTCTTTACAGTCTATCCCACTTCTGCTTGTCTCTCTACAGTCTATTCACACAGCAGCCAGATTGATCATTTTGCATTGTAAGTCTTGTCATGTTAAATGCTTAACATTCTCCAATATCTTGTCTTTCACTTAGAATAAAATTCAAACTTCTGGATCTGGGGGTTTGACTTAGTGGTAGACCATTGCCTAGCATGGGAGAGATCTCCCCACAAAAGAAAAATTAACCAAACTTCTTAGGTTTGGCTTCCACCTCATTCTCTTTACATGTCTCTTTTCGGTATCAGTAATTTTCAGAACAAACGATATAACATGTTTTTTTAGTGTTCAGAGCATTAATTTTGTCATGAGCCTTTCTGTATTTGAATCCTATCCCTGCCACAAGTAAGCAGTATTAAGTATGTAAAGTGCTTCACAAATTGTTTAAGCAGTAGATGCTCAATATTTGGTTCCCATCTCAGTAAATAGCATCACAATCACTGGATTGTTCAGGCTCAAACCAGAAATCTGAGAGTTGTCATTGACTCCTCTTTGACCTCATATCCTCACCACAACAAGGCCTGCAAAAACAACCCTCAGCTGATTACTTCTCACTATTTCCTATATTACTACTCTAATCCAAGCCACCTCATCTGTTGTCTGGACTGTTTTGTTTTTTTAATTTTGTGCTGGGGTCTAGCCCAGGGCCTTGCTTATGCACTCTATCATTGAGCTACATGGCTGCTTTTTCCCCAACACCTTTTAATTCCATTCTTCACACAGCAATCAGCTTTTTCTTTTTTTTTTTAAGTCCTACAGTAGTTTCCTGTTGCATTCAAATTAACATTCAAACTGCATGCAGTCCACTAAGCTAGCTTGCTTTTATCTTCAGATTTAGGAGCACCTCTTAGGAAAATGGATTTTACCTATTAGGTTCTCCACCCTGCAACAGGACTCTTTTCTAAAGTACAAATCTGATTTGTCATTCTATAAAAACCCTCCAAAGGCTGCATTATATTTATTTTTTGTTCGTGTGAGTGTGTGTGTCTGTGGTACTGGGGATTGAACCCAGTGGAACTCTATGACTGAGCTACATCCCCAGACCTCTTTATTTTTTTACAGGGTCTCACTAAATTGCTGAAGCTGCCCTCAAACTGAGGCTCCAGCCTCAACCTCTTGAGTTGCTGGGAATATACGTGTATGCCACCGTGCCCAGCTAACCAAAGACTTCTTACTGCACCCAGGATCAAGCTGGAGTCCTAACTAGGCCTTTGTGATTTGGTTCTGCTTCCCCCCAACCCAACCATGCCTGACCATGACATTTTATTTTCTATAGTAATTCATTGCCTTAACTCATATTTCATTACATCTCGTAATTCTAGTTTGTTTATTTCTTAAGGCCCAGCACATTGCTTTCTCTTTGAAGTGCCCCCATCCATGCCCCATTCCAGTTGATTATCCCCACTTCTCTGTTCACATGGCACTCTATAACCTCTGTTACAGTATTTCACACACTCAGGGCATATCTTCGCTGTGCTCCCTCTCTATCTGGCTGGCATTGAAAACATACAGGATGCCATGAATGGACGGATAGATGTGTGGAGATGGTGTAAAAATCTCTCTTTGGGAAGGGACAGTCACTACATAGAGGCACAGCATCTTCTGTCTGTGAGGACTCATGATAAAATTAAGCAGGCAATTATCAAAACTGCTATTCCTGGATGATATTTTATTTGACCAAACTTGGCAGAGAAAGTGTTTGTTTTAAATTCTTAAGAGCTCTGGACAGGGCACACAGTCGACAACATCCTCCAAATATCTCACGTAATATATCTCACTTAATAATTCTACTCACTTATGCCACCCACCATTCTGGTTTCTAAAGGCATTTTTCTTTGGATCACCTAACTAGAGTCCAGTACTTCAATTTGGAAGGAACTTTAGAGGTCATCTGGTCCCATGGTTTACAAACATGGGACATATAAGAATTACACTTAGAGCATTTCAAAATTTTGTACTTTCTCATAGAAATTCTCATTCAGTAGGTCATAGGTCAGGCCTGGACATCAGATTCTGATATACCTTACCTGGTTGAATCTAATCTCCTCATTTTAAAATGGGAAAAGAGGCCCAGAGAGGGTCTAAATTATAACCTGCCCATCATTTCTGCCATCGTCTCTTGCCCAAGTTGTCAGCAATAGCATCTCAGTATCCTAGTTGGTCTCTTTGCCCCTTTGGAACATTTTCTACAAAAAGAGCTAGAGTGAGCCTTTTTAAATGCAAAAGAGATAATGACCTTCCCTTGCCTATTCAGTGGATTTCTATTGCATTTTTAAAGAGATAATGACCTTCCCTTGCCTATTCAGTGGATTTCTATTGCATTCAGAATAAAATATCAATTCCTTACATATTTGAATGGTCTGGTTCTCCACCTTTGTCATAGACTTGGAATCATACAAATCTTCAGTTCCTGAATACCTCAAGCTCTTTCCTGATTTTGAGATTTTAATGATGCTATGTCCTTTGCTAGACTCTCCTTTCCCCCTGTTTTTCATGGAAATCTCAGCTTAAATGCCATCTTCTCAGTGAGGCCATGCCTAACCACCCTTTGTAAATATTATCTTCCCCTTTTATTCCCTGTCATAGTTTGTTTCCTTCATAGCACTTAACCACACTATAATTTTATTATTTATCTGTTTACTTATTGTTTGTCTCCCATCATGTTTTGTATTTCCTAAGGATAGAGACCTTCACTCTGTTCATCACTTTATTCTTGCTGCTTAGCACCTGTAAACATTTATTAAACGAATCTTACTAAGCCAGATGGCACAAAAGCTTTGAAGAGCTCATTTTGGTGGAATTTTAAGCAGGACTGTGGAGTGGTGGATACAGCACTAATCTGAGTCATCCCCTTCCTCAGGGCTCAGTTTCTCTATCCATAAAACAATCTGGATAAATAATTCCTTGAATTTTTATACTTCATTGTTATTTGCAAAGCTCTTTCATCACCTATCTTAATCTATTATCATAGCAGGTAAAATAGACCTTGTTATTCCCATTTTTACTGAGGCTGGAAAGTTTAAGTAAACAGATTATCTGTAAAATCCCTTCTGCTTCAAACATTCTATGAGTCTGTGGAAGTAGTCTACTACAGACAAAAAGTCAGTAGCATGAATCCTATCTTCTTTTCACTTTAACATCATAATTTCCTCATAGGATTTTTAAAAATCTGAACCCATCTTTAAAGGGGAAGTTCATTATCTTTAGGTCCTGATAGATACTCCATTTTTGTCTTCTCAGTTTTCCACACTTGTGGCAAAACAAGCTTCAAGAAAGAACATTGGCATTCCTATTAGTTGTGGCCCAGTCCTTATCCCCTGGAAATGGCAAACAAGGGGAACAAGAAGCGTCGGCAGTTCTCCCTGGAGGAGAAAATGAAAGTTGTAGAAGCTGTTGACTCAGGCAAAAGAAAAGGTGATGTGGCAAAAGAATTTGGTATCACTCCTTCTACATTATCTACATTCTTAAAGGATAGAGCCAAATTTGAAGAAAAAGTGCGAAAGGCATCTGTGGGGCCCCAGAGGAAAAGGATGAGGAATGCTCTCTATGATGACATCGATAAGGCTGTTTTTGCTTGGTTTCAAGAAATCCATGCCAAAAACATTCTCGTGACTGGTTCTGTGATTCGGAAAAAAGCACTAAACTTGGCCAACATGCTTGGCTATGACAATTTTCAAGCAAGTGTGGGTTGGCTGAACAGATTTAGAGATCGCCATGGAATTGCTTTGAACGCTGTCTGTAGAGAGGATGGTGACAGGTTAATGAATGGTCTAGGAATAGATAAAGTTAACGAGTGGCATGCAGGGGAAATTATAAAGCTAATTGCTGACTACAGCCCAGATGATATATTCAATGCTGATGAGGCAGGAGTGTTTTTCCAGTTGCTTCCCCAGCACACACTTGCTGCTAAAGGGGACCATTGTAGAGGGGGCAAGAAAGCAAAGCAACGGTTGACAGCACTCTTTTGTTGCAATGCCTCAGGGACTGAAAAAATGAGACCATTGATTGTTGGTAGGTCACCCAGCCCACACTGCTTCAAGAATGTCCATTCCCTGCCTTGTGATTACCGAGCCAACCAGTGGGCATTGATGACGCAGGACCTGTTTAATGAGTGGCTGATGCAAGTGGATGCCAGGATGAAGAGGGCAGAACGCCGGATCCTCCTGCTTATTGACAACTGTTCTGCTCACAACATGCTTCCACGCTTAGAAAGGATTCAGGTGGGATATCTGCCTTCAAATTGTACTGCTGTCCTGCAGCCACTGAATCTTGGCATAATTCACACCATGAAAATGCTATATAGGAGTCATCTTCTAAAACAGATCCTCTTCAAGCTCAGTGGCAATAAAGATCAAGAAAAAGTGGACATCAAGCAGGCCATTGACATGATTGCTGCAGCATGGTGGTCAGTCAAGCAGTCCACAGTGGTGAAATGTTGGCAGAAAGCAGGCATCATCCCTATGGAATTTACAGATTCTGATGCAGAAATGGTAGCCAAAGAACCAGACATTGCTATTGAAAAGTTGTGGCACTCAGTGGCTGTTGCCACATGTGTCCCAAATGAAGTAAATTTCCAGGACTTTGTCACTGCAGATGATAATCTCATCATTTCTCAAGAGCTAGTGGACACAGAGATCATCCAGGGTATGGTGACCGGCAAAAATACTGGTGAAGCTGGAAGTGAAGATGAGGAAGACGATGTTTCTTTACCAGAGCAGCCAAAAATCACTATCACAGAAGCCATCTCAAGTGTACAGAAACTTAGACAGTTCCTTTCCACTTGTGCAGGGGTTCCTGATGCTGTTTTTGGACAGCTAAATGGAATAGATGAATATTTAATGAAAAGAGTGATACAAAGTCTTACTGATTCCCAAATTACAGATTTTCTCCAAGCAAAATAATGTAGGAATTAACTGCCTCTTTTATATTGGAAAATATTTTTCAAGAATAAAGATTTCTTTAGATAGAATATTGAACTAATTTAAGTAAAGCAATATTATTATGATGATTTTTCAATACTCAGAGATAATCAGGAAACTTGAACAGAATTTGGGAATGAAATTTGACTAATATGTGTGTTCCCTTTTGGTTAATACATTGGTTTTCAAATTTTTCTGCACCTTAGGAGCACTTGAGAATCTTCTAATAATTCCAAAGCCCAAGCCATATCCCAGAGGAGTTAAATCACAGTCTCTGTTGATAGGTCACGGGCATTTAGTAGTTTTGAATTTCCCCAGATGATTCCAATGTACAGACAAGTTTGGAACTACTGAAATAACCACAGGAAAATCAAGTGCATTATGGACATAGAGTCAACTACTTCCCAACAAGTCTAGATCAGTGGTTTCTAGAGTTTAGCTCACATCAGAATCACTTCTACCCTCAGAATTTTGGATTCAGTAGGTCTCAAAGGGAATCCAAGAACTTGCATTTCTACTAAGTCCTCACCTGATGATCCAAGGTCCATACTTAAAGAACCACTGACATAGCTGGATTCTAGTACCTCCTCTTCAGATGGCCTTCTTAATACTCTCCATTGCTGTATAAAAAGAAAAGTTTTAGCTGTTCTTACTCCAGGGCTATTTAGCTCCTTCTTTTCTGCTGATTTGTTAACTCTAGAACTTTCTTAGCTATCCTCTTGATGCCCCAAAAGTTATCCAAGTTTTCAGTAGAGGTACATATGTTTGTGCCCAAGGAATTAACAGGAGCGATCTAGCTCATTAAAATATCCATAGTGCTTTAAACATATAATTATTAGGAAGCTGGAGTACAGGAAAATAAAGAGCATAAAAGGGACATGGATATGCTCTGAGACAGATGGTATAATAAAGAGAATCCTGTTAATCAGGATCATGGAGGAGAACATATAGCCCCAGCGTGCCTTTCACTTTCTAGACAGGATGAAAGGAGAGTTTGTTAGATAACTCCTATGGGGGTGTTTGGATCACACCCTGATTTGGATTTTTTTCACTGTTCTTTTTCTTTTAATTTTTTTTGTAATTGTAGATGGGCAGAATGCCTTTATTTTGTTTGTTTATTTTTATGTGGTACTGAGGATCAAACCCAGTGCCTCATGCATGCTAGGCAAGCGCTCTACCACTGAGCTACAGCCCCAGTCCCTCACTCTTCTCAATACAGTCTGTACCGTATAATCAAAATGAAGGCACATTACATTTTCCCTCTACTTAAATGGTTCCATAAATTGTCTTTTTCCATTTGTGCTTGTTCTTCAGAGAAATCAAAGTTAATTCTGAGTTATTTAAAATTATATGAATTTATAATCAGATTTACAGTAAAGTTTTTTCTCTATAGAGAAGGCATTCTTTTTTCTTCTTTGCAGGATTAGAGATCAAACCTAGGGCTTGTCAGGCAAGTGCTCTACCACTGAGCCACATCCCCAGCCCTAGAGAAGGCATTCTTAATATTCTTTATAATTCTAGAATATACTCCTGGTAAACCAGACAAATAAAATTTCATTTCTAAAGGGTACACACAGAACCTGTTAATGTTGTGATGGTGGAGTTTTTTTTAAACCTGCCCCCACCCTGAATGATTTCGTAGATATTTCAGAAACCCACAGGAATTCATTTTTCTTTCTGCAGTTAATTGAAACACATAAAGCAGATTAATCATAGAAAGTATTGCTTCTACAGTGTATAAAACAACAATCATTCAAAAGGAAGAAAATTTAAGATTGCTTTCCTATCATGTGATGCATTTTTTCACTTATCATTTAATCTTTCTAAAAAATATATATATATAGTACAAAAGCACAAATAGGCTCAGATAATTTAGTTCCAAGGTTACAGACCTGTTAAAACTGTTCATACTGAGGCCTTATTTCTTGGAATTTCAACCACCAGAGGGCACAGGTGGGTGACATAAAGGAAACCCTAAGAACAGCCACTTGTAAATTCTGTGATGTGATATAGATTGAGAGGGAAGACAAGGAAAAAGGGAAGAGACATAGGATGTGAGACTTGTTCAAGCAACCAACCAGGAACGAACTGCCTAGGACCACAAAATCTACCTCATCACACATCTCTTCACTAGAAACTTTTTCCAACCTATTGATACCACAGACCATGTTGACTCTGGACAGCTAGATATGCTCTAGAAATGAGCCAGTGTTATAGGAATAATTATCCACCAAGCATATCCATGTTTGAAATAATAATTTATTGGACCTTATAATGTAGCCATTACTGGCCATAGGAGCTCTAAGAATTCTACCCTCAAGAATTTCAGCGGGGCACAGTGGCACTTGCCTATAGTCCCAGCTACTTGGGAGGCTTCAGGAGTTCAAGGATGGTCTGGGCAACTTAGGAGGACCCTGTCTCAAAATAAAAGGAAAGGTCTGAGGATGTAGCTCAGAATTGGAGCACTTGCATTGCATGTGTGAGGCTTTCATTTTAAGCCCTGGTACTACAAAACAAACAACAACAAAAGATAGAAGAGGAAAAAATGAGTAGTAAATGTCATTCTTAGTGAATAAGCATAGACTAAATAGAGAAGTACAAAGATGGAGTCCAAAGGAGCCCCTAAAGGAGAGGAGTTCTGTAGGAAATGTTGCCAAGAGCAAAGGATACTTGTTAAAAAATATCTAGGAGGAGGAGTAGGGAGTTAGGTTGATGAAGCCAGGAGGCATCTCCAGGCAGAACAGCGTAAGAGACAGGTGTTGTTTAGTAAATGGCCTGTTGGGGAAACCTAAGGTCAGTAGTTGGTATGTCAACCAAAGAATGTGTGATAGGACAAGAGGCTAGAGGTGTAAGTAAGGGCAGTTTTAAAGGTCTTGTCAGCTAGAATATTAATCTTTTATTTATCCTGAAAACACAAATAGCAAGGGTCAGGTGTTTGTTTTTAATATAGTAATTAGAGGCTGTATTGCAGAGAAGCAGATAGTTATTTAGGCTGTGGCACTGTCTTGAAGAGAAATAATGAAAATTGAGAGCAAGAACAAGATGTTAGATTTGATAGACACTTACAAGGTAGGTGGATTTGGTGTGGGAGTTAAAGAGAATAGAGAGATTCCCAGGTTTCTAGCTTAAGTAGCTGGGTCATGCCATGATTACAATAGGTTAACAGGGGGAGGTATACCTCAGTGGTATAGCACTTACTTAGCATGTGTAAAGTCCTAAGTTTGGGTCCCAGTACCAAGGAGAAAAAAAAAAGGTATGTTAACAGAAGGGAAGACAAGTTTGTTTGGAAGACATGTTGCATGTGAGATATCTCTAGGCATCCCAGCTGAGCTGTCCGATAACAAGGTTTATATATAGATAAGCTGGTTGGCATTCTAGAAAGGTCAGGCTAGAAATCTTTTTTCAGCTGCTACTAGCTCAGAAAGTAAGGTGAGTGGAGCCATAGATGTGGAAGTTTATAAGCCATCCTTTTTATAGTTATGTGTGCATACCTGCACATGTGAATATTTCTCCAAGAGTCACACTTTCATCAGTCTCAACTGGATCTGAAAAGAAAAAATTTAAGCAATGATTCTAAATGAAGAGGCCATGGATACAAACGTTGAAAGGGCAGAGAGGGGAAGCAGAGCTCTCCAGGGTAGCCAAAGAAGATGCTAGAGAATGACTGTGAGTGCATTTGACAGGTCTCAGAATGCCAGTGCTGTCTGCAGACATGGAGAGTATACAAAATGCAGAGTCCAATTCCTTCACTTTGTGAGATGGGAATAAGGTCAAGATCAGAATGCCTCCTGCAAAAGGAGGACTAAAAACCATCCTTAGCCCTGTCCCCACAATCCCACTTCAGAGAGATGAAAAAGAAAGAAAGAAAAAAAACAAAACAATGGTGAGCATCACCCAGAAGAGGCCTCATGGCAGATACCGGGGAGGGTGGTGGTACAGTCTTCTTCACAACACATGTTCCAGTTAGGAGTGCCACTCTCAGTTCTCTCACTTAATCATCATGTGTTAGCCTCAGTTTGCTGATAGGGAAAATGTGGACCAAAGATCACTTTTTCAAATTCAGAAAGAACAATAGTAAAATATTAGTCAGATTTGAGTTTTCTGATTCTAGCATGACACAGAATAGGAGTCAGGAAATATGAGAACTCCAAGTGTCCTCAAGCAAATCTAATCCTCCTTCCCTCTTCACTTATGGAAAACAGAGACCCCAAAGGAAAAGAATTCGGGTTCTTTATGTTTTATGTCCTTCTATAATGACAGATACTATCGTTATAGTTGGGAAAAATTACTGAGTAAATCTTTTTCCAAATATAAACAGACTGTATTATAAAATCCACTGGTGCCTAAATATTTCTTGGCAGATTCCCAACCCCACACAAAAGTAACTAGAGTAATATTTATTATAGTAACAATTTATTAGTATACAAAAGAAATAACACCTCTGGACCTCAATACACATAATCTTACATTAAAAAAAAAAAAGGCAAACATCCTTCCAGCAGAAAAAGACCTTTCTATTAAACAACTCCCCTCCTTTCCAATAGGCTCCTTTTCAATAATACATTATTGACTCATCTTTGTCCCATAAGGGGATTAAACAATGACTTATGAGGAATAACATCAAGGCACTCACTTCAATTAAAAAATATATAGTATAAACATATTCCTAAAAGTCATGTCTTAATATAATTAAAGGGGAAAAAGACAGTATACTTTTGGAGAATAGACAAGATGGAGTTCATTCACCTGTTAAACTGATATTGTCTTAATTTGCATACAAAAGTTGCAAAGGTGGCCCATTTTGGTATTTTCACATACACATTTCTGAGAAACAGAAGCCATGGCAACATCAGGACTCAAGTCATAATTTTCCAATTGATTTGCATTGAAAAGGCAAGAGCTATTTGATTCCAGGTATCTCATTTGAGGGATGGGGTATTGGATAAGGAAGAGAAACTCCCCAAATAAGTTCATTAAAACTTAAGGTAAAAACCCATTCTAGCACAGACTTACAAACAGCATCTCTAATTTTAAAAAGACATTTGGTGGTAATCTTCATGATTCAGTCTTCAGAATTCAATATTCTTCTATTTTACACAAAGTTTAAAAAAAAAAAAAGACATACACACCGAAGAATGTTTAGTGTAATGTTTACTTTCTTAACAATACTTAACATGTTTCCTTTAAAACTGAGTTGCAAATTAAAAATTGTTTATTGGGATAAAAATATTTATAAAAAAATAAATCTTCCTCACTCCTACATCTAAATTCTCCATTCCTAAGTTACTTATTTTCTTTTTTTAACCTTGAAAATTGGGCTGGGGGGTTGGGACTGAGGCTGAACGTTACAGCACTCCTCTCTCATGTGTGAGGCCCTGGGTTCGATCCTCAGCACCACATAAGTAAAATAAAAAGGTATTGTGTCCATCTATAGATATATATATATATGAAAGAAAATTGGGTTGGGGATGTTGCTCAGTGGTAGAGTGTTGTCTGAAATGCTCCAGGACCTGGATTCAATCCCCAGTACCACATTAAAAAAAAAAAAAAAAAGCAAACTTAAAACTTTCAATATTTCAATAGTATTTTACTTCAATATAGGCTATAACAACAAACCAGTTTGTTATTTTGTCCTATTCCATCTACCTTTTATTATTGTAATTCATGGCAATCTAAAATCTTTCTGCAAAAGTGGAGGAGGGGTGTGGTGGCACAAACCTGTAATCTTAACAGCTAGGGAGGCTAAAGCAGGAAGATCCCAAGTTCAAAGCCAGCCTCAGCAATTTAGTGAGGCCCTAAGCAACTCAGCAAGACCCTGTCTCAAAACAAATAAAAAGGGATGGGGATGTGTGACTTAGTGTTTAAGTGCCACTAGGTTCAATCCCTGGTTACCTTCTCTCCCCGCCTCCCCCACCACCACCACCAAAAATGGGTGGGGGGCAAATTAGTTCAAAGTTTAAGTGTTCTAGTTCCCACTTCATCCTTTTTTTTTTTTTTTTTTCAGTTTTTGAGCCCAGTTTTAAATAAGGCATCACTAGAATAAAAAAAGGGGGGGCACTAAAGAACAGAAAAATTGAGCAAAATCTAATTCCTATCAACTGGATTTTTACCATTTCCCTGTGGAATCTTCCTCTGAATAAAACAGGGGTATCACTGGCTCCTGCTCAACTCTCAGTCAAGCTTCAACTCAACACTCTTCTACAAAACACATACCCTAAGGGTCCCAGTGTGTCATTTATTGATTGATTGAGAGAGAATTTTATTATTTAGTTTTTTAGTTTTCGGCGGACACAACATCTTTATTTGTATATGGTGCTGAGGATCAAACCCAGGCCGCACGCATGCCAGGAGCATGCTACCGCTTGAGCCACATTCCCAGCCCCGCAATGTGTTATTTATTGAGTACCATAGTACCAGTACCTGGCCCAGGGTCCCTGACTCCTGGGTAGGTCCTCAAATATACAAGGTAATGTCTACATTAATGTAAAGAGAACCCACAGCCCAACTCTAACAACACATAGAGGAAAACAATTCATTAAGAAGGGTCACAGAACTTGAGTTTATCACTGTAACTTGGAGACTGAATTTAAGTTCCCAAGAAATGCACTTCATCCCTTTTTTTACTTTTAAGATCAGGGCTAAGCCTGACAATATGGTTGTTTTCTTGTTTGGTATGGAGGATTGAATCTTGGAGTACTTTACCACTGAGCCATATCCCCAGTCCTTTTTATTTTTGAGACAGGGTCTAAGTTTTCAAAGGCTCGCCTTAAATTTGAGATCCTCCTGCCAAAGCCTCCTAACCTGGGAATACTAGATGTGCCACCCACCCAGTTGACAGTGTGTTCTTCAATAACAAATTACTAAGAGAATACCCCTGCACAGAATTACTTTTCTTATTAAAATGTAGCCATTAATATTATAAGTCTAATAATGCAAAACAATTCCATACATTTTTAAAGTTCACTGTTTACCATATTATAAATCTAACAATAAATTTTGATGTTCAATTGTCTCTATCATTTAAAGGCTAAGCCAACTGTCAATCAAAAACACCTTGCCAGACATGATGGGACACATCTATAATCCCAGCAAGTCAGCAGCCCGAAGCAGGAAGATTGCAAATTCAAAGCCAGCCTCAGGAACTCAGTGAAGCCCTAAGCAACTTTTTTTTTTCTTTCCTTTTTTGAGAAACCCTCTCAAAAAAAGGGCTGGGGATGTGGCTCAGTAGTTAAGCATCCGTAGGTTCAATTCCCAGTACAAACAAACAAACAAACAAACAAAACCCTCCTTTTCTTTTTGTTCTACTTTAAAAAGATCAATTAGACATGTCAATCTTATTACCATATCAGAATCACATAGAATACTGGAGTCACATAGTTTAGAGGGAAGACAGTGCTCCAGAATAGTGCAAACCAGCTCTTTCAGCTTTGGTGAATCTGACTCGTCCCTTCTGGAAACAGAAACCAGTTCTGACCTTGCTCTCAGAGGTGTGCTACCTAATCCTAATCTACTATTTTGTGGAGTTTACCAGGAGTTGGATTCTGTTCAATTGGGTCCCTTCCTTGTCTCCCTTTATAGATCAGTCTCTTCAGTGATTATTCCCTGCATTGTTTTCCTTGCATATATGTCTATTCCTGCATTGACAGACTCTACCCTTCTGTTGTAACAAATTTTAAAAATCAGGTTATAAGAGCTTTAACTATCCAAATTGTATGCACAGTCTATAGTTCAATGAAATGATAACCATTTAATAGAGTTTGTATATTTATCAATAAGTAACAAGAAAATGCTTCACTTACTCTCACATTTAGAATAAGCAAAATAATTTTGTATCAAAGCAATTTTAAAAATATCAAAAAGCAACCAGGAGGGTAGTAAAAACTGTCTTTAAAGTAAAAAGGGCTGGGGATGTAGGTCAGCGATAGAACCCTTGGGTTAAATCCCCAGTATAAAACAAAACAAAAAATACACACACACACACACACACACACACACACACACACACACACACACTAGTTTTTGGTAGTGACGATGGCAAATTAGCCTTTGGTTCCAAAGAGATGTTAAAAATTTTTAAGTTGACGTAGACCTCAAGTCCAAGTAAAGAATGAAACAACTCCAGTGAAATCTTAAAATATCCTTATAATTGCCAACTAAAAGCAGAATCTCTTGTTTACTCTTATTTATCTTGGTAGGACAGGTGCAAATCAGAACATTATTCAAGAATAATGCTCACTGCTTATTTAAAGATTCAAAACTGTTCATATCCACATTGGTAAAAGTTTAGGCAATGCACAAACAATGTCATTCATCCTAAGAAATTTTCCAAATTCTGACCAAAATGAAATTCTTTGGCTATGCTGGTACTGGATTATAGAGTTGTTGTAAACATGTACTCATTACTCTGTCAGAGTGTTTGACATCTATAATAGTCTCAATTCAAACTTGGCTTGGGGAAGGGACAAGAGGGGACAAAAAGCAATTGACCAAGACACGGGTTTTGACAATTATTATTCATAAGGCTGGATAGAAAGGGCAAACATCAGGGAGCAAAAGTTCTAAAAGGATGTCAAAATTCAGAACATTACATCTAATCATAACATTAATCACCTAGAAGATAGAAATCTAGACTTTGTACTCAAAACTGCTCTCTCAAGATAATGGAAAGGTAATTTTTCCATGTAAACAAATAGGACAGTCCTATAATAGATAAGCAACACTGGCAGTTTATGGAGCAAACAGAAATACCAAAAAAAAAAAAAGTAAATATATATATGCATGTGTCAAGTAAGTACAAATATAGTATGTTTAAAAGCATCCCACCTCAATAGGAGCCCTATATATAAGGCTTGATTCTTATAATATCTACAATTATTTAGAACATAGAAACAGGCTACAAAAATTATTTTGCACTTTTTAAAAAAGACTTGGCTAAATGTTTAAATCTCACATAAATTAATCCCCTATTCCTAACTTTGGAGAACCTGCTTTTTTCTTGCCTTTGAAGGTCCAGATATAGAACTGTAAGCTTTCAATGTCAGATATTCTTGATTTTCTAAAGTAACCATTTCTCAACTCAAAACTTGTGGCCAATGATCAGAAACAATACATCCATACTTGGGTTTTTACAAATGTGCTTCTAAATTATTTTGTGTAATAGTTTTAGGCGACTTGAGTTAAAAGCTGTCACTGTCATCAATATTTACTGTACATCAACAGACATCTATGGCAGTAAGCACCAGCACTGTTTTCACTAAAACATATACAAATTAATGATTGATGTCCTTTTGGAAGCACTCTTGCCACTCTTGTGCATTCTTTTCCAGAGCAGCAGCTTATATTTAAGAAAGACTGTCTAGTCCCCAGCAGACCCTTGCTAAAATGACATGGGGGGGGGATATACAATTTACTGCCAAATAAACTAATTCTTAAGGGAAACTGTCAGCCATTCTTTTTTGCCATCTGTCCTTGATGGTTCTGCCCAAAGCTCATTTAAAATACTGTAAGGCCAGGCATGGTGGCGTATGCCTATAATCCCAGTGACTCAGGAGGCTGAGGCAGAAAGATCACAAGTTCCAGGCCAGCCTTAGCAACCAGTGAGACCCTGTATCCAAAAAGAAAAAAGAAAAAAAAAGAGCTGGGAATGTGGCTCAGTCATTAAGAACTCTTAGATTCAGTCGCCAGTAGCAAATTAAAATACTTAAGAAAAGGCAAAATCAGCTCCTGCTTTATCTGACATGACTGAAATTGATATTCAGAAATGCCAGCTTAGGACAGATTCCATGGGAAAACACACTAGGATAACTTAATGCTGAAACAGAGCTTAATGGTAGATAAATGGTCAGATAAAGACTACAGAAAAAAAGAATTCCCAATGCAGAACATTTCTAATTTTGACGAACTCTTTGCTGAACTACTGACCTTAAACAAAAAGCTATGACTAAAACATTAAATATATCACCAAGGTTAATTCTGTAAAATGTTAGTATGTCACAAACCTGCTGGCCATCAGACTCCTAATGAGACTGTGCCTACTCCCTGCCTTAAGGATAGGACTGGTTCTCTTCTCCTGAAATCCAGAGATCCTACTGCTATCTGGGGAACAAAGACTGGGAACAGAGAAGCACAAGAACGAGCTTGTCTAATTAGGGCCTCATGCTTTCACAAGCCCCTTATGCTGCTCGTTCAAGGGCAGGCTCAACACTCTCCCTGACTTCTTCTCCTTCCTGTCTACAGAGCCATGCAAAGGCACAAATTTCTAATGCAAATCCCAACTTCACTCCTTTTCTGCTTGGAGGAGAAAGAGTCCAAATGTATAGCCCCTAAAACAAGGTGGTAATAGTCTTGGGACTACTGTACTCTTTAATTCAGTAGATATTTATTGCATCCCCCAAATACTTCATATCTGTATGAAAGCTTGAAACTACAACATTTTCTTCTTTTTAACTTTGCCCAACAATAAGCTCTGATGCATTTGAGAATATACAAAGGCCATAAACTTCAAAGGAAGAATAATTTCAAGTGTGCAACTTGAAATTATTGGAAAATGTTACACACTTAAAATTTTAACCTATTGGCTTGACATTCTTCCTTTCAACTACTTTCTCAATCACCGGACAGACTCAGACCATTGAGAACACATATTCCTTTCTGCTTTTGAGATTCTACTGCAAAAGCCACTGCTTCGTACACACTATAGAAAAGAAGGTTTTCTTCTTCCTTTTTGGAATATTCTCCTCTGGCCAAAGAATCCCTCACAGAGGGATTGCACTGAGCCAGCAGAACTTGGATACCAATGGCTTCATAATCTCTGCGAACTTCCTTCAGTGTATGGATCCCTGCTGTATCTAAAAATTGTATTGTACTGCAGTCAATCACTATAGTATGCAGCTCCAAAGGATCATGGGAAAGTTGCATTGAAACTTCATCCTGGATTCCACTGAGAGTCACCGTTTCCTCTTTGAGCTTTATCTTTGCTGCCTTCTTCTGAGCTGCCTTTACTAAGACTGGGTTTAGAGTTTTTTTGTATAAAGCAGATCTGAAACATTCTTTGTTTATGTAGTACAGAGGAGCTACAAAGCGGAAAATCTTAATGCCTGGCTTAGTCTGAAGGTTCTTGTAAGCAGATATGGATTCAAAGATTTCAGTCTCTTCCACCAAACCAAGCAATGAAATCTTTGGCTTCTGGGTGCGGAGGATGACACAAAACATAGAAAAACAAACTCCAACAAGCAAGCCTATTTCAGTGCTTATCAATGCAGAGGATAGCATAGTAACAAACCATATAACTGTATCCATTCTGCTAACCCTCCACATCTTGGGCACATCTCTAAATTTACAAAGGGCTCCCCGAAGATTTACAATAGTGATCACACCAAGGACACATTTCTGAAGGGAATAGAATAAAGGTGCAATTATCAGTAAAACCAACAAAAGAACAAGGGCTGTCACCACAGCAGAAAGCTGAGTTTGGCAACCTGTTGATTCTTTAACCAATGTCTTTGCAAGAGCAGCGCTAGTAGTAATGCAGTGGAAGAAGGAAGGGATAATATTGCAAAAGCCAATGGCATACATTTCCTGATTTGCTCTGACCGTGTAACCATGTTTCTTGGCAAACATCTCAGAAAGTGATACAGTTATAGCAAAACCAATGATAGAAATAGCTATTGCATCTACAGCCACACTAGGAATTAGGCTCCAATCTGGTACTTGGGGTGGCATAAATCCAGTGGGAATATGTCCAGCTATACTAGAATTATAATTCTCATTTAGTTTTCCATAATGAGAGGCTAAAGTGGCTGCCACGACAACAATTAGTTCGGTAGGAATTGGTGCCTTGAGTTTGGACTTGAAGCGCTCATTGAGTTCTTTGGTTGGCAGAAGGACCAAAAGGCACAAAAGGCTGGTGATGAGATCACAGAGATTGGTCTTATGGATGTTTCTGAAGATATGAATCCAGGTAGTGATAAATGAGCCCACGCCACTACTCCGAGGAAGGCTGAGCCCAAGAAGATATTTGGCCTGAGATGTAAGAATGGTGAAGGAGGCACCAGTGACAAATCCACTCAGCAAGGCATCGGAGAGGTAGACAGAAACGAAGCCCACTTGAAAGAAGCCCATTGCAACCTGGAATAGATGATATATAAGTGTTAAATGGAAACAGAAAAGTGCTTCTCAATTTTCTATTACACTACATTTCTAGCATGGAAACAAACCATCAGAGCATCACAGAAGGTCAGAAATTGAATGAAGGCAATCATGCATCAATCTTTACATATTACAAGGAGAAGGAACTTGCCCAAGGTCACACTGTCACTCATTAGTCCAGGTGAAGGAGCAATTTAGGATATCTATCTATCTTCCCATACAATGTTTCTTAAACTTGAATAAGGTTCATACGTCTTTTCAAAAGGACATTCTCAAGGGTCCACAAGAAAACATACAAACTCAAATTGGAAAAATTCCTCCAATTTAAGAAACCACTTATTTTTCATTAAGTCATAATCATTACTTTAAAAATGGAGCTGTAACTGGTTAAAAAAAATCACATCAAAATAGAATCACACTTTCAAAATTATCATAGAACTCTTTAATCTAACTTCTGTAAAACTTGTTCTCCATTCAGTATGTATATACTTATACCACATTGCCACCCATATTAATAATAATCTTGTATTTTCACAGTTAATACCTTTTTATTTCTTCCTCTTCCCAGCTCCTCAGAATTCTATCACAACTTTCTAATTCTTGGTGAGACATACTAAAATCAAAGAAAAAGCAGACTCTAAAGAGTACTACTCATCTGTATCTCACCTTCCTTTCCCTATCTCATCCAAACACCAAATTAAGTGAGCCAATCTTCCCCTTTGCCCACTGGTTCCAAACATCTTCATTAGAGAAGAGGTTTAATGTCAGTGCTGACTTATGGATGCTAACAGGCATGGCATAATGATAACAGCAAATCAGTGGCTACTATGGAAGACCCAAGAATAATTTAATTTTTAATCCTTTCTCCTGGCTGCTATATAGTAGCCCTCAATTTATCCCTTCCTTCCCCCAATAACCATGGAGAACTACTGCATTTTAAAATTTTATATTTTTTTGGCACTGATGACTGAACTCAGGGGTACTTTACCACTGAGCTACATTCCCAGCCCTTTTTATTTTTTGAGACAAGATCTTGCTTAGTTGTTGAGGGTCCTGCTAAATTGCCAAGACTGGTCTTAAACTTATGATCCTCTTGTCCCAACCTCCCTGAGTTGCTGGTATTATAAGCATGAACTACCATACCCAGCAAACTGTTTTTATTAAGAGTCCACTCACCAGAGCAGCAACTCTAAAGGAAGGTAGAAGAACCTATAATTTGAAATATTCCTAATCCACATTTCTCCCTATCCCCATTAGTTTATCACTTTTTTTTTTTTTTTTTTTTTGGAATTGAACCCAGGGGCACTCGGCCACTGAGCCACATCCCCAGCCCTATTTTGTATTGACAGGATCTCACTGAGTTGCTTAGCACCTTGCTCTTGCCGAGGCTGACTTTGAACTCAAAATCCTCCTGCCTCAGCCTTTCAAGCCACTGGGATTAGAGATGTCCACCACCAAGCCCAGCATTTTGTTATATTATGTTATCTGAAATTTCATGTAGTGATTACTTCTGCCAGAAATGACCCATTCTTCCACTGTTTCTTACCTGATAAACTCCAGCCATAAAGGTTACAGTGCTGCCAACTTTAATTGCATAGCAACTTTTATCACATACCCTGTCTAATGTCTGGTTTACTAGTGTGCTCCTATTTAAAATAATTTCTAAAGAAGGAGCAATATCAGAGCCAGCTTTGTGTACTTCTCGGTCAACTACCTCACCAATCATAAGGCACAGTACACCAAAAATGCCCACAGAGATGTGATGGGAGGTACCAAATATGAAATAAATGATGCTGGCAAAAAAAGATGTGTACAGTCCATAAATAGGTTCTTGGCCAGCCAAAAGAGAATAAGCAATAGACTGGGGCACCAATAAGATGCCCACAATCAAGCCAGACATCACATCTCCTAGAATGTTCTTCTTTAGATCATATTTTGGGAGCCATCGCAAAACAGGAAGGAAATCAAAAATCATATTTTTAACTTTGGTTGGGCTACACTGGCAACTCTTCTGTAGCTTTTTGATGACAAACTGCTTGATGTTAGTATGTGATTTCTCCTGAGGCTCCATATGGATCCTAGGATAAGAACTGCGTCGATCATTGGTCTCAAATTGCTTCAAGTCAGTACTTGATTCCTTTTGAGGCTTCAGAAGGACACCGGATGGAAGACTGTCATTTCCTTCAGCTGAGTCCCTGGGTGAAAGGTCATGTTGCTCTTTACTTTCCAAAGACATTTCCGGAGATAAATGGTTCCACTTCCTACCCCAGAGAAAATATCAGTGTTAACCGATAAACTAGTTCTCAGTATTCAGGTATATTAACAATCCTACTTGTCACACACATGGAAATTAAGAGGACTTCAGTTTGGGGATACATATCTTATGCCTTCTTTTCTTCATCAAGCCTTGTTTTTCTTAGAGGAAAAAAGACCAGCACCAGACCACAAACAGCTAGGTCAAAGCAAACAATTGGTTGATACAGGACACCCCAAGAGTATAAAGCATTAAGGATTATTTTCCATATTTGCCTGTCTACCCCTGTAGTTTTTTCTTCAGACAAGTTACTGGGACACTCTGTCTTCTTTCTATATACAATAATGGTCTGCTTCCCAGGCATACCACAAAATAGGATCTAGTCTCAAATCTTCACTCTTCTCTACCCATCCTTGAAAAAGTAGTGGAGCACTTGCCTAGCATGTGTGAGGCACTGGTTCGATTCTTAGCGCCACATATAAATAAATAAAATAAAGGTATTGTGTCCATCTAAAACTAAACAAAAAATAAAAATAAAAAAGATGGCTCTTTGTGTATGTATATGTTCATTTTTAAACGACCCACTAATTGTTGAGAATAGAAGATAAAGTATGTGACGGAGTAAATATAAGTGTTTTGGGCAATAAAAAGAAACTAGAGCAGAATGCATCTGAATCTTCAAATAGCACTCCTTTACTTAGGGAAGAGAAGCTGATAAGAGAATGTTGAAACTTAACAAATATCAAGTGCATGGGGAGGATTGTTAGGGCATGTGACTAATATATGCTATAGAAGGTTTTGGTACATTCTACTGAGTTCTAGTTTGGAGTTATCTGCCTTAATGGCAGAGCCCATATTAATGCAAAGAGAGACCCACTTGACTACTATGAGTACACACAAAAAAACATAGGCTATCTAGAGAGGAAAATGTTGCCCTGAACTTCCACATCTCTAGGTCCTACCAAAACTACAGAACTAGTGCCATAAATCTACTACTAGGAATTACAGGAAAACAAAGGAGATACAAATAACAAAAAAGAGAAGGGACAACAAAAATCTTAGGAGTAAAAGAGGAGGAACAAGAATCATGCTCTCAAAGGAGTCCAGTGAACACTTTTTAGCAAATACTTCACAAATTAGTGACTTTCCATAAGCTATGTGCTTAGCTTAGAATATCCATCCATCTCTCTGCTTGTCAAGACCTTAATCATTTTTGAAAACCCAGTTAAAATGCTACCTTTGCTACAAAGCACTACCCAATTTCCCCTAACCCAAATGAATCACTGTGCCTTCTGTATTCCACGACACTTTGCATCTGCATTATAGTAGTAACCATACTCTGTATCAGTTAAGTAAGAGTCTCTCCAGCTCCTGGAGAAAAGACATCTTGTTCATCAGTACAGTCATCACTAAACACAATATAGTAACTCTGAGATAGCAGGTTCACAGAATATTTGAATAAATTTAAGAATAAATAAGCAAACAAATTTGTGACTATGAATACATAGAGTTAAGACAAATGGACGACTTAGGAAATTTTCTGATTTCTTTTTTCCCCCCAGTCCTGGGGATTAAACCCAGGGACACTTTACCATTGAGCTACATCCCCAGCCCTTTTTATTTATTTATTTTTTTAAATTTTGAGACAGGTTCTCACTAAGTTGCTGAGGGCCTCTCATTGCTGAAGCTGGCCTGGAACTTGTTGATTCTCCTGCCTCAAGCCTCCAAATCACTGGGATCACCACTACAATTGGCCAATTTTCTGTTTTATAACAAATCTTTGTGAGGTGTAAACCTAACATAAAGTGCCACATTCCAAGATCCCATGGCCTATTCACCAATACAAGATATATAAAATTTTATTTTATTTAGGTTGAAGAGTAAAATAACAGTTATTTTGTTGGTCTTGTGAAGCAGAAAAGGAAAAAAAGGATAGATGCTACTGACCCTAAGCAGGTAAGCAGGTAATCAGGTTGATGGAGAGACACAGTAGCTCTTCGTTCCTCAGTGTAAACAGTCTGAAATTATCTTCTCACTTCCAGCTTTCTTGAGCAGCTTGAATGCACTTCTTACCTCCTAGTTTGGAGCAGCTCTTGTTGATTTCTGGGTCAAAAGTCTTTAACAAACCTAAAAAACAAAAAGAAACATAAAGCAAAACTAAACAAATCTGGGTCTTTGCCTTCTATGGAGCTGTTGAAAAGAATAAAAGAAAAAATACTTGAAAAGTATAAGAGAAGGCTGGGTACAGTGGCACATGCCTATAATTCCAGTGACTCAGGAAGCTGAGGCAGGGGAATCACAAGTTCAAAGCCCACCTCAGCAACTTAACAAGGCCCTAAGCACCTTAGTGAGATCACCTCAAAATAAAAAATAAAAAGGATTGGAGATGTGGCTCAGTGGTTAAGCACCCCCGGGTTCAATCCCCAGTACCACAAAAAAAGCAACAACAAAAAATTATGAGAGAATTGTAAATTAAGAAAGAATCAAATAAAAAAAGAATAAAATAGAAATGCTGTAAAAACTATAATAGAGGCAAAGAATCAATGAATTCAGCTCAACAGAAATTAACTAATGCAAATCATCTAAATGCTGTTTGGTATTCAAACAGTAACAAATCCAGAAACCTAATACCAAAATAACAGAACATCCAAGATATGTGAGACATCAAGCTATCTAACGTGTGCATAATTAAAATCTATAAAGGAGGAGAGAATGGGAGAAGAAATGTGTGAAAACATAATGGCCAAGAGTTTTCCAAAATTAATGAGACACAACTACAGATCCAAGAATCCGAGAGAATGCCAGGAAGGATACACATAAAATTAAAACAAAACCCTGTACCTATACATATCACATTCAAGCTGCTAAAAACAAAAGATAAAGAGAAAATAAACAAACGAAAGAAAAAACCACGTTCTTTACACAGGGACAAAGGTAAGAATTACAGCATCTTTCTTTTTAGAAACCATGGAGGTCACAAGACAATGGAGTTATATCTTCACCAGTGAAGTCTACACCCAGAAAAAAAAATCTTTTAAAAGATGAAGAAGAAATAAAAACTCTCTCAGATAAACACTGAATTTATTACCAGCAGGTCAGTTAGTCTGCGTTTGTGCACTATGTTGCCCCTGTACCCATCCTCCCTCATAAGTTACAGAGAGATTCTTTAGGCAGAAGAATATACCAGACAAATTTAGGTCAACACATCAAAGAAATAAAGGTTCAGGAAATGGCACAAATGAAGATAAAATATACTTAACTTTTTCAGTTTAAAAAAATCTTCAATTTCTCTAAAAGATAACTGTCTAAACCAAACGCTTGAATGTCTTATTTATGCATATAAAAAATAAATGTGTGACAATAATAGCAAAAAGAATGGGACTTGGAATGGGGAATTACAAGGTCTATCTGTAAAGTAATGTAATAGTAAAATGATTAAAAAGGCCAATTTTATGTTACATATATTTTACCATACACACATATGCAAAAGCCAAAAGGGACAAAATTCTAAGACTCTTATGCCATATATGAAAAGATAAAAGACCATGAAATGCAATCCTCATATTCTGTAGATAATTATAAGGGGTTCAGAATAGTGAAATCATTTAAAGCAGAGCTGGAACCACAACTCAAGTATCCTGATCCCTTAACCTTTTTCCTCTAATAGATTATCAGTCTCCTTATATGTGTACAAATCATCAAATATTACAAGAAAACTAGTGTCAACTCCAAAGTAATCTAGAGATCTAAAGTTTGTTGAAAACTGTTAAATCTTAACTCAATACTAAGGTAAACAAGTCATCTACCAAAATAAGCATCCCTTCTTAGATGGAAAAATCTAAAACAGTTTGGAATAGGTAATATATAATTTGGAAATAATTTTCCAGTACTCCCAGCACTTACAAGCAGCAGGATGATAGCCCTAATACTAGCCTCTCTGATTTGGGCACACTCTGTAGGTACATTCTGCCTTCTGACTGCTTATTTTGAAGCTTCTTTAAAAATCTTAAGAAAAGTTGAAAGAACAAGACTTGAAATACCTGTAATACTCACAATTCACCTACTTAACTGACAATTGTTAACATTTTACTACATCTGTTCTTTTGCACCCTTTGTCCTTACAGAGTCTTGTTCTTCTGAACAACTTGAAACCTGCAGACATACTTTGCCTTAAACACTTCATTGACCCTACATTTTGTAACCCTATGCTATCTGCCTCTTCAAATGAAGAAATCATTAACATAAGATCTCTACCTCTTGGATATACTCTTCAAAAATCTGCAAGGGCTCCCTGCCTCTTAACAGTCTAATAAAACCTTAGTACAGTCTCCTAAGTAGAACAAGACTGCAACTGCCTCTCTTGCTTTCTTCCATTCACTAGTGTTCCAATTACCAATCCATAAAACTATTAGGCAGTCTGCTCCTTTGCTCATGCTATGCCTTCAGTCTGGGATGCCTTTTTCTTTTTCTTTCTTTCTTTTTTTTTTTTTTTTTTGTGGTGGTGGTGCTGGGGAATGAACATAGGCTCTCATACATGCTATGCTCATGCTGAACTACACTCTCAGCCCCTTTCTGTCTTCGTTCTTTTTCTAATCCTAGAAGGCCCACCTCACAGGGAGACTTAAACTTCTTAAGCTATGCTTCCTTGACACATTACATAAAATGATTTAGCACTTAAGCAAACATGTCTCTCAAATTACAGCACATTGATAGGCAGGCATCAAGTCATTCTTGTCTCTTAGAACCCAGCACTTAACGCCTCACACTTGCATTCACGTTAACGGAAATAAACATTTATGTTTCTTTACTTGAAACAACTTTTGTTTACTGAGGGTTGAACCCAGGGCTTTCTGCATAGTAGGCAAGTATTCTACCACTGAGCTGCATACCCCTGCCCTTTTTATTTGATTTTGAGACAGAGTCTTGCTAAGTTTCCTAAGGTGACCTCAAACTTGTGATTCTCTTGTCTCAGTCTCCCCAAATAGCTAGAATTATACCTATGTGAAACAGCTGCATGCAGCCAATACAACTAAGTATCAAGTAAATACAATGAACACAATAAAACTTGTTTTCCAGGTATCACAATTACCAATGTTCATTTATGTCTGTGATACAAAATAATCAATATAAAGCATTTATCAGTAGTGTAAATATCATGACATATTATATCTGATATTAAGCACAATGGAAGACAAAATAATAAAATATCCAAGAGGAAAATAATATAAAATCACCATCAAATAAATAGTTCCTTGTGCAGTAATTCACAGCTTTCAAGATTACATACACATCTTCTACTTGCCTCCTCAATAAACTTAAGGACACAACAGGAATTCCCATTCTCCAGGATGAGACAAATCAAGTTTAGTCACTTGCTCTATTGATAACATCAGATTCTCAAATCTCATCCTCCAATTTCCAAGTTTAGCTTTTTCTATAAAACAACACTGTCTCCTCCAATTTATTTCCTTGTTAAAAGGTTTTAGTTCAAACTATTAGTCTGTAGACAAGTACTCAACTCAGGATTTCTGAGTATATTAGTAATTTTAATAAGTGAAGATAACACACTACTTAAAGGAGGTTTGGTTAAAAAAAAAAAGTCCAAGACTAAAATTACTTTTATGTTTCATACTATATTCATGCTTGATAACATTTTCTTTTTTTCCCCTATTAGAAGCAAAAACATAAATTTACTCCAGTATTACATTTTGGCCAGAATAACTGTCATCCAAGACAAAAGTCAAACAAAGCAAATAAGCTCTTGCCTCCTCCATACCTTTTTTCTTCTCTAATGGAAGTGCTCTTCTCCAGTTATATTCATGGCTTGCTGCCTGTTTTCTCAAAGGACACCTTATCAATTAGTTCCTTCTTAGACACAATAGAAAATAGCACCACTGCCATCTGGGTCTATCTCTGCTTTGTACTCTCATCCCCTTTGCCTAATTTTTTTTTTTTTTAAAGTCTATAGCCCTGTCAGTTTTTAAACTGTCTTTCAGGCGGGGGCAGGTAGGGGTAGTTCAGGGGCAGGGGGCTTGCCTAGCATCCAAAGGCTCAGGGTAAAATCCACAGCACCATTAAATAAATAATTGTGTTTCTTTCCCACGAAGGCAGTGACTTACTCTATTTTGTTTGAAGTTGTATCCTGAGTGCTCTGTTATGTGGTACCTAATAAGTGCTTGTTGATGGTTCATAGTTTAACAGCTATTTTCCCCATTCTTACTAACTCGCCAACTCCGACCCTTCCACCCCCACATACCAAAACAAAACTTTTTAAAACAGTTTTTTAGTTGTAGATGGACACAATACCTTTATTTTGTTTATTAAGGTTATTTATGTGGTGTTAGCAATCTAATCAAGTGCCCCACGAGATAGGCAAGTACTCAACCACTGAGCCACAACCCCAGCCCCCCCAAACCAAACTTTTATCAAGAAATTATAGTTTGGCAAACATCTGCCTGGGGTTTATGCTCACTAAACATGTTGTGTTGATTCTCAAAGTCTACCTCTAGTAAATACCTCTGGAGATCCCCCAAACCCTGAATTTGTTCATTTCTAGATCCTCCCCTAGGAGGCAGCACACTGAAGTACTGTACAATGATTTTCAAATAGAGATCAAAATACAGATTCTTAGGCCTGCCCCTAAAAATCCAAGTATGAAATCTAAGTCTCTGCACTGAGGATAATAATGAGCTTTAGGGCTACATATGGAGAATCACTAGTTGTATTCTAGAAGTCAGACCAAATCTCTATTTAGATCCTAGGTACACTGTTCAAAGTTGTTCAGGGCTGGGTGAAAACTTCTACTTAGCATCAATTTGTGACCTACAAAATGGAGATACTATTACCTAACTTGCAGGATTAGGTAACACAAGTAAACTACCTAGCATATAACAATTACTCAATAAACAACAGCTATAAGTCTCTCTCACTATCTTTGAGATTCCTTTAGGAAAAAAAAAATTGGACTCATTTCTTTTTTTAAAATATTTATTTAGTTGTAGGTGGACACAATATCTTTATTTATTCATTTTTATGTGGTGCTGAGGATTGAACCCAGGCCTCACACATACAAGGCAGGTGCTCTACCACTAAGCTACAGCTCCAGGCCTCATTTCTTTCCAACAGTGCTGACCCTCCATTTCCTATTGATCCAACTTTCAAAAACAAGAATTTCTGCTTAACCCAATCCTATAAATCATATTAGCTCTAGATTTCACATAAAGCCATGATGTGAAGCTAGGGGTGGGAATGGAGCAGTGTCAAGAGGCCCTGGGGGCAATCTCCAGCCACGCTCCGCAGGAAAAAAAAAAGGGGGGGGGCTATAGGGTTGAAAAGGGGGGGGGAATACTAATAGGTACCAGAAAGGAGTGCAAGTTTTGGATGCTTCTAACTCACGGTGGGTCCCAATCTGTGCAAGAAAAAAGGGCCCTGCTAGATATTTACAAGCTGAATACCAGCCCTAGCTGTGCAATTATAGTTAAGGCCTTGGACGGCAAGTCTTCTCAGTGTCCTCACCTAACCACTGAAAGAATTCCAACTTTAGTGTATGAGTATTAAAGAAGTACAAGTCCATACCCTTCTATGACTCCGAAGCAAAAATAAATAAATCTATTGCTTTGAGGGAGAAAAAAAGGAAAGGAAGGAAAGGAAGGAAGCGTAAGTCCTAATTTTGTATCTAACCAGGTGTCTGATTTTAATACCCAAGATAACCAAGTGTTCTCTTCAGGCCCGTTTCCCCATCTGCCCAAGGTGGGGCGGCTCCTACCACCTCGGTGCAGCTCCCCAGGTCTCAGGGTGCCAATCGCCTCAGCAAGGACTCGGCGGGAACAGCAGCTCCGCATCTGCGAGGTGCGAGGGTGTAGGATGAAAAGTGGGCAGCCATGGGCCGCAGGAGCTAGCCGCCTCAAGAGATTGAGGCTCTGCTCCGGCCACCGCCGATTAAGGGAATAACCCGGACGCACGCCCACTTCTCCCCGCCCGGCCACTACGCTCACGGAGAAGCTGGGTCAAGGCTTCCTCCCACCACTCTTGGGACCAAGGCCAGTCTGAACCTAAAGGGTGCCCGCAGATCGCGTAGCGGCCGCCCCGACCCCTCCCCTCTGCTCACCTCTGGGGTCCGGACAGCAGCACGCAAAGAGGCCCCGCGGCGCCTCCTCCGCCGTGGCCGGGCTGAGCCGACACCTCAGCGCCGGCAGAGGCTGTCCGGCCCCGCGCTGGCCTCTCTTTAAACGGCCCGTCCCCTTCCCCGCCCATTGCCCGGCCCCCGGAGGAGGCAGAGGACCAGCCAAGCGAGACCCAGGGAGCGCAGCCAAGACGCACCGGCCAAAGGTGGTGCGGAAGGTACTCCGGTTGCTGAAGCCCGGGACTAAGGTGGTCACGTGGTTCTGAGGCGAGCGAAGCTGCTGTCAGCCAATGACTGGGCCCGGGCCGGCGAGGGTTCCGCCCCCTATCTGTTTTCCTCCTCGCGATTGGCTGTCCTGGCAGAAGGGGCCACGCGGCCGAAATCCTTCGGCAGTTCCTTGGGCCCAGAGACTGGTGACTCAACCGCCGAGTGGACAACCTATCCGTTCTCAGCCGTGACCCGCAGAGTGCAGGGAAGATGAAATGTCAGGATCGATAAGCGGAAGCGCTCTACGCGGAGCTTTAGAGAGCTCTGAGATAGTGAGCTGCCTCATCTTCATCCAAGACTTCTTAGGGCTCCTTTTGCTCCACCCGCAAAGGGGAAATTAAAGCCCTGAATAGGAAAAGGCGGCTAGAAAGTTAAGGCACTTGCCCCATTTGAACTTGTTCTCCACCAAAGATCCCAATAACTAGAAGGCCCTTTTAAAAACCGTAAAACTAAAAGTGTAAAAATATGAAATGTAATTCCAGCCCTTGTTTGAAACCTTCCATGGCTTTCCATAGGCTTTATGCACTGGCTCCCTGTGTCCTCTGCACTTTCCTCACTGCTCTGAACTGGTCGTCTTTGTCCGCTAAGCTTTTTCTCTTGTGGGATCTGAACACTAGTTGCTGCCACCTGTTGTCTCGAGTCTCCTTGGAGGACATCCCAGACAATCTTATGTAAAAGAGCCACCCCGTCCCACCCTATCACACCCTCTTGATTTAATCATAGGTCTGGACAACATGGTGTATGCATTCATTCATTCGTTTGTAGCTTTCATGGGTCCACTAGATGGAGAGAAAGAGACCCTGTGAATGAATTATGGTTAACTTCTTTGCCACGAACCTCTTCACAATCATTTAAGAAATTTTCTTATCTACAGATAATTGATCCAAGTTTTGTTGCCCACCGAATTAAGAGTTTCCAAGGTCACAAACTACATCGGTAATTGTATTAATCAGGGTTCTCTAGAAGAACACAATCAAAGGAAGTATAATGATAAAAAGTTGACTTATTAGGTTAACTGGGTAGTCCACGAAGGCTGCTGCAGGCTGGAAAGCTGGGAGAATCAGTAGCTGCATAGTCTTAAGAGGCTGAAGCCCCCAGAACAAGAGAGGTGGATGGTGCTACCCTAATCTGAGACCTAAGCCTTTTGGAGAATCACTGTCAGAGTCCGCTTTGGAAGAGTCCAGAAGAGAGAATCCGCACCCTGAGGGCAACAGCAATCAAGAACCCGGTCAAGAAGAATTTAGCTTGAATCTGCTGCTGGTTCTTTGTTCTTAAAATTTTTATTTCATATAAGCCATCCTATTGATTGGTGCTGCCCATGCTTGGGGAGGGTCTCCATTTCAGTAGACTATCCACAGGCCAATTATTCCTAGGCACACCCCCATAATCTTTTTAAGCCTTGGAACCTCTTAATCCAATCAAGTTGACGATTCAAAAATTAACCATTATAGTAATCAACAATCAATACCTGGGTTCTGATTCTTATGCTGCCCCTTTAGAATGGGGACAGATAGTCTAAATGGGCGTCAGTATTCTCACCTTTCAAAGGGTAGTTAATGGGCTAGCACCGACTTTTTGAAAGGATCAAATAAGTCAATGGGATGTAAATTACTTTGCAGCTCCCTATAGATTGCCCAACAAGCAGAACCTCCATAATTGCCCATTTCTGGATGTTTATCACGTGTCTCATAGAGATCTTCACATTCATATTTTAGTTAATTCTCACAACCCATCTTTTTAGAGGAGACCCTATACCATGAATCTCCTTTTATATGAGAAGAAATGAGACTAGAGATTTTGGGTGAGTTGCCCAAATGCGTATGGTTAATAAGTGACAGATGACTTTAACCCAGTCACATCTGACTGCAAAGCACATTTTCTTAATCCCTACATTCACTATACTATTCAAGTGTTAAGAATCTATCCACAACCTTACATATAATAGACATCAATAAAGACTGGTCTAATAATGGCTATCATTTTCTTCTTTTTATTCCATATATATTATTCTGCATTACAGATGAAGAAATTGAAACTTGGGATGTTGTACCAACATCATACAACTGGAAGGTAGTAAATATATTTCTGAGAACTGTCAGATGTTCAAATCTAAGAACACCCAGCTCTTAAGTGACTCAGTGCTGGGAAAGGTGCTACAGAAGCTTTAGTTCAGCCATTGGAACCTCTCTCAGTTTAACATCCTCAGCTGCTGCTTAATATGGTGCCCCCCCTCAACATCCTCAGGGGCCCCATGAAGGTGGACTTTGATCTGTCATGCCTATATTACCTTCACTGATGCTCCAATGGCTCCACAGTAATTGAAGGAAAAAAAAAAAAAGACAACCAACTCCCCCCCTGATGGAGAGCTGGCTAATAATCTGCTTTTCTTTGATAACAGCAGGTCACCAGCCTGGCCAGCCAATACCTAGATCTTTTCACCCCTCCTACCTAAGCCTAAGCATTTTCCCTCTTGTTGGTCTCAGGGTTTATAGGGGTGGCCAGCAACCTAAGGGCTACATATTATAACCATTACTCTGTTCCAAACAGCTTCACCAAAGAATAACTAATGTGTATTAGCTGGGGGAATTATGGGTCAATAAGGAAGTCATTTTAGGTTAGGGACCCCATTAGGATCCACCATCTCAGTACTTCCTGAAGACCTGTTTTTTTTTTTTTTCCTACATGGCATAGGCCACTTCCTCTAAGACCTCACCCAACCTTAGGATGACTTTCACTATTTAATGGACCATTCCTGATTTTGCTCTTCAGGAGTCATTGTCATTGCTCTAGATGTTGTACTGTTATTTATTTTTTTTAAAATTCCACGTCTTAAAAATAGTTGACAAAAACTCAAGTAAATAAATTCAAAACATCAAGAGGCTGGCAATGTAGTTAAATAATAGAGCACATGCTTAACATGCACAAGGACCTGGGTTCGTTGCCCAGCACAAAAGAAAAAGAATTTACAGTGAAAAGAAAAATCTCCCTCAGGCCCTATCCATTCTTACCCAACGGTACCTTTCTCCAGTGTACAGCCCCTGTTTCCTATGTTGCCTTTCACATTTATTCTATGCCATCAGTTCTCGATTGTGGCTGCACATTAGACTCTCTTAGGGGAATTTCTAAAAGATACCAGTGTTTGGGTTCCATCTCCAGATATTATAACAGGTAGTATAGAGAGAGTTCAGGCATCAATAGTAAAAAAACAAAAACAAAAACAAAAAACCCTCTTCAGGAGTACACTTGGGATCAGCAAACCAATGTTCTATGCATATACAAGACTGCATGTGTATTTTTAAAATAAAAGTGGCATGTAGTATACACTAACCTGTACTTTGAAAAAGTAATATACCTTTAAGATTGTTTCATATCAAGGTACAAAAAGCTGCCTTTTGACTATATTGCTTAGTAAATCACTCTACAACTTAGAGAATATATATATATATAATATATATTTTACAGTTTCTGAGGGTCAGGAATTTGGTAAGCTCTGGTAGCTTCTGGCAGATTAACTCTAGAGAGTGGCTAGAAGTAGGATAGAATTGGGATAGAAAAGGGGCTCAGCCCTTTCCCTTCATGGAGTCTCAGGGTCACTCCTGTGCTTCTCTATGGGCCAGTGTCAGCTTCCCCACAGCACAACAGTTTCAGGGCAGTCCAAGCTGATGTGGCAGCTAAAGGTTTCAAGATCCATTGTCCCTGCAAATAAGGAGATCACAGTACAGCTTTTTATGACCTAACCTCAAAAATCATTCAGGATCATTCTATTGCAGTCTGTTAGTTTAACGTGATAAAAAGCCTTTCCAATTTCAAGGGGAAGGAAATATATATCAAGTGTCAATACAAGAAGTGTCAAAATCACATTGTATAGGATGAAAAATATCATCGTGGCCATCTTTGACCTCAGCAACTTCCATTACATCCATTGTTTGGATGTGTTAAATAAAAATCATAGGAGGCCATTGTTTTGGACTAAGATCCTGCACTGGGCTCCAACAGACCAGACTAAAAATCAAAATGGAGTCACCCATGCTGAAGTTCCATATAATGCAATGAAAAATAAGTCCTTATCTGACCTAAAAAAAATCAGGAGAATGAGACAACTAAATTTCCCAAACAGTCCCATTAGTATGACAATGAAGTTCCCTTTGCATATATCCTTCAAAATTTTAATCCTTGCAAAAACTAACCTAGAGTAATCTGATATTAACCACTGAGCAAGAGCCTGTCTCAAAACAAAACAAAACAAAATATTAAAAGGACTGGGAATGTAGCTCAGTGATAGAGTACCCCTAGGTTCAATCCCAGTACTATAAAAGTAACTTTAAATAATCAATCTACTTTGTGGAGAAAGCAATGTCTTGATGTACACCAGTATACCAGGGATTCTGGTCATACAAACAAATTAAACAAACTAAACAAGCGAATGCTGATAATGTCACTGTTTCTGCAACCTAACATATAAAACCCTTCTCTCAGTGGCAACTGGTGTGGAACTGAGGGTACTATGGGAAGGATGCACGTCACTTATCCAGCCTGCCACCACTAGATAAATACCATGAAGGAAAGTAGGTCTGCGACGTGAATCGCCTTGAGGAAAAAAAAAATGCTATATTTTCAGCCTATCACACCTAACTCTAATTGGAGCAGTCATTGATCTCTTGTAAGCTTTCCCTAATAAATCCTGTCTAGCATGCTGCCTCTGGGCACTTTTTTTGGCCTTTCAGCAACCTACCCCATTAACCTGGCACAGCTGAAGTAGGGATACTATTCCATCAAAACATTTATTCTATTTTATGGAGTGATAAAGCTAATCAAGATCTTTAAATTGTTGTGTAGTTCTGTCTTTTGTTGGGTATATTGTCACTTATTTAGGCATTGATGGACTTTCATGTTGGTTAGATTCTTACAAAATTCTTAGATTTTA